CTTAGACTCAGAAACTGGAGGCGCTCACAGGAACCACGAGGTAGCGGAGCTGCTGAAGTTTTGGACAGAAAAAATAATGGAAATAGACGCGGTGGAGAAAGAGAGGCCGAGCCTGGGCCTGATTCTTGAGAAAACACCGGAGGTGGTGAGCATACCGCGCTCGAGCAAGAGAGTTGTAGTGAACATGGGTGAAGGCAATGGCTTGTTAATCACGAACTTGGGAGTGGTATGGAAGTTATTGAGACCCTCCTGGTGTCCACATCCCCACGCGAGTCTGATCGAGGAAACCACCCAGCGAGTGAGGTTAGCACCAACGGAAGATGAAGATCTGGCAAAGTTGAGTGTGTTGCACAAGCTAATCTCACCTCAGATACAGGAGTCAGGCGAAAAGACGAGCAAGCTCAGGTCAGCAAAGAAGATGGAGCCGGGTAGCTGTCTGGATTCGACGTGTGGGAACGGAGAGCACACCTGCGATGGACGGTCATGTGTCAGGATACTGTCCTTTCAAAAAGAAGACCTGGTCACTTGGTTTGAAGACATTACGGAAAGGGAGAAAAGTGAAGTGCAAATAGTTGCGGAGTGTTACGCGAGAACTACAGTGAATATAGCGACAGCTCTCGGATTCTTCTCGAGAATGTGTAGTCTGCAGTCACTGGAGAGGCTAGAGTCTGAACACCATTTAGTGACGGCGTTGAGCGTAGAATCATGGCCTGGGGTGTTGCAGGTGACTCAAAAACACATCCGGAGCTGGAAGGTTGGTCTCGAGGCGGAAATGGGGTTTCCCATGAGTGAAGCTTATGGCCTGCCATTGAACGCAAAATCCTTGATAGGGTCAATGATGGCCAACCTGTGCGGAAGCCACTACCCACTGCACATAGCGATGGTGGAAGCATCCAGCCAAGGAGTACTGGTGGACATGGCCTTCTCAGTACCCAAGTGCGTGAGGTTGGCTCGGATATCGCATCACTCGCACAAGCTGTTGAGAAAAATCAGAGGGACAGTACCAAAAGAATTGAGAGATGACTTGAGTGAAATCTGGGGAGAAGAACTTTTGAAGTTGGAGAGTGAGAACACAAGCGATCACGAAAGACAAAACGTGATTGGAAAACCTGGGGGAGGTGCTCCAAACATGGAAGATAGCGACACGATGCATGAGAAAATGATAGAGCTTGAGCCTCTCTTGGAAGCCTCGGGGGAGCGTAACCTCAGGAGCATTGAGATCACCCATGGAGAATGCCCATGCCACTGTTTGGCACAAACGGTGTGGTATCCAGATCACAAGAACCTTTGCCTGGTATGGGATATGGAAGAAATTCGGTCGATCGGACTACCGGATCACCGGCAGAAGGTGACGCTCTTAGTAGTGAGTACGATGTTGGCTCTGAGATGGATAGAAGAGAATATAACGAAGTATCGGGAAGCAACGACGCCAACGGCTGAGTCAATATACGCGATAGACTACAGCAGGAGACTCGAGTTGTTTGAGACTGCGTGCAAAGTATTCGCCATACCCACGGAAGTCAGACTGGAGCCGCCTGAGGTACTTTCCATGGTTTCGGGCGACGCTGACGTCTTGGTTGTACATGACAACGAAAGATCACATGAGGAAGCATCAAAAGGAGTATCGACAGTTCCAGGCCGAGATTGGGCCGGAAGCTTTCAAGAGACCCCTGTTAACCCATCGAAATGCGATCACGACAGGATGGAAGAGAGTGGGTAAAATGTCTAGAGACAATACCAAAGCGAGAGAATCGATACTAGAGGAGGACTTGGCGAAGAACGTGAGCTTGAGCCTGCACAACTCCTTTTGTTTGAACAGGGAATCTAGAGTGAAGGCACTACCCAACCAGGCAAAGAGGTTGCAGGAGCAAAGAGAATGGATGCGATCCTATGAACAGCTGAAGGTTTGGGAGGAGATCGTGATTAGCTCCGATGATGAAGAAGAACTGTTGAGACAGTTTGCCGTATCTAGTACTTCAGGGTGCAGCACCTCCAAGGCGAGGAGTGCGAGAGGAGTGGATGGTTCGAATGGATCTTGAGTCTTGAGAGGGAAGGGGGGCTTGAGCGTGGATCCGGGTGAAACTTGGATTCACGAAAAAGAAATTTTAACAAACCAAATATTGTTATTAATATACTATATTTACTATATAAATCAAAATGCTGCATGACAATTTCCTGATTGAATAGGACAAAAGAAATTTTAAATGATTGGCTTGGAAAGCGAGAATTCAAGGGTGCAGGTGTGTGCAGATTTTGATTGCTGTTTAGCGATAGTGTGAAAATTTTACATGGCTGTGAATTTTGGGGTGTAGATAAGCTTAAGTCTGCTGCAAACTTCTGTAAATGACCACTGGCACTGTATCTTGAGTAACACTCGGTTTTCTGGGACTCACTGGCAGAAGACAGCACGCGATGAGGACATCGATCTCGAGTCCGGGGAGTATGTGCCAGTCGGTCATATTTGGAGGTTTGACCTTGAGAGGAGCGAAAAACACTTGATTTTGGAGGGAGGTTTGATTTTTCGAGAATTCGAATGGAGCCTGTCATGCACGATTTTCTCGCGATGGCTGAAAGTCAAAGGGGAGAATTCAGAACAATCGAGTGACAATCGCGGGAAAGTTGCTAGAAAAATCAGTGGGAAATTGCTATTCGCAATTTCAGTAGCGATAATAATCTAGAGTAGAGCTGTCCCATCTAAAACAGAGACGAGCGCATCCCCACGAACTGGATTGTTGTGATTGGAGTATTATTCTAAACTGGACTAGAGTGAACCTTCGGTGGAAAGGTGGACAGCTTGAGTGTCCCAATGGTTCAAGAGAAACTACAGTCTAGAGTACAAACTTGTTCTTGTTGTTAAAACTGACAAACATTAAACTCATTTTAGTTACATTATTTAATTCTCGAGTTAATTACCGACTGAAGTACTTCCCTTTCTTGAGCGTGCTACAATGTGAGTACTAATTTAAATTTCTAGAGTGTGTTTTATAATTGTTATGTTGAGGTAAGGCGAGTTTTAGGTTGATCCATCTGAAATGGATCAAAGTTCCACTGTCTAATAAAAAGTAACTTAACGGATTGTTCCGACCCGGTTTTTAATGGCGTTCATGTATTTTGGGTATCTAGAGACCTAAGTATGGGGACGTTTCTAATTCTAGAGTGGGGGGATATTTTAGTAGTAGCCTTTAAGCTGTAACGGGTCGTAGTCTCATGTCACAAGCGAACCGAATTGGCTCCGACTGATTTGAGGTACAAAAACACAAGAGATAGTGTCCCTGACTCTTGAGCCAATGGTTATAGGGCCTATTTTTCTTAAGCCTCATGTGTGACTGCAGTAGACGAATGTTACAATTTGCTTTACGTACTACTACTTTGCATGCGTTACCTCTAGAATCCCTATCATTACGCACGAATAGTCCCGCAGTGGCATTCCTATCATAAGAACCATAGCAGATTTTATACATTTCTATCAATGTCCCTCTTTTCCTTCTGTATTCCAGCGATGATATATTCAGTTCTTTAAAGCGTTCGTAATAGGATAGATTTTTTATACCACTAACTAGACGCGTCGCAATTCTTTGTACGTTTTCCAAGATCTTTTGATGCTTGATCAACATTGGTTGCCAGATTAAGTTCGCAACTTCAACGTCTGGCCGTATCAAGCGTTTGTAGATGTTTAAACATACTTGTTTCGTGACTTTAGAGAAGCTTTTCTTAATTACTGCTATCTAGCCGTTTGCCTTAATGGCTTTTCTACTGATTATAGCAAAAATGCGACTAAATGAGTGAAAACTTAATGAACACTGCGAACGATGTACTATCTATTCAATTTGAATTTAGAAATGCACTCTATGCAGAGGTGGATTAAGAGGGGGGATGCTCATCCCTTCCCCCTCCCCCCAACCAAACCATGTATAGGGTCCCTGCTTTGATAACGTTATATGACATCCATTTTCGACGACCATAAGTCATTGGCCACTGGGTGGTATGTCGTTGAGTGAGTCTGCGCTAGTTGAGAACCTGTGATCGGCTCTTCAGTGAACTCGTCGACAAAGGATGTACCATTCGTTCGTTCGTTCATAAAGGCATGCCTGCCCATCGGCTAGCCACTGATTGCAGCGTCTCGGACCACCGCTCTCCATCTCAGCCTGTCCTTGGCGACTTCGTAGCATAAATTTTTCCATGACTTCTTCCAAAACTCGTGCCTCAATCTGGGAGGCCTGAGGATCGGTTCAACGCCTTCCTTGACGTCCATTCTCCATGTTGTTCTGAGGTCACCCGGTGGACGTTTCCATGACTGAGCTTTTTCAAACAATAATGCTTCTCGAGTTACTCGTTCTTCCCCCATTCGAAGTACATGACCACACCATCTTAGTCGAATCTTTCGCAGGTGAGAGTCCAAGGATGTCCCAAGGTTCGCTGCTGCTCGGCTGCTGGTGGTGTCTTGCTCAGGTCGTGCTCCGAGGTAGCGTCTTACGCATCTTGTTTCCCATGAAGCAAGTCTTAGGGGGTCAGATTTTTTGACAGTCCATGTTTCCGCAGCATTTAGCAGAGCGCTCTTTACGCATGCATTGTATACTTTGTTCTTCGTGTTTCTCATCGTTCACTTGTTCTAATAAATTTAAAATATTAATTCAAACGTTTTCGCACATTTTGTGCATCATCAGGATTAAATTTTTTTAACAATATTTACAAAACAATGGAAGATCTGAATGAGAAACATGTCTGAAAAGGCTCTAAAACTTTTTAGCCAATCAAATTTAAACAACTGTCAGTTTTTTAACTTTTAACCCTGTTATACATAGACTATAATTTTAGTGTTAATTATATAATATAATTACGTAATCATTAATAACAAATTCTGAGATTTTTTAGTTTTTTGTTCTTTCATGGTTATAAAATTTTGATTTAGGAATATTTTCGATTCTGACATGTCAGTTTTTTAACTTTTAACCCTGTTATACATAGACTATAATTTTAGTGTTAATTCCCGGCTCCTGAATTCATCGCGTTTGTTGATCTTCGGCCTCTCCCTCCCTTGTTCCTTTGTTCTTCCAGAATTTTGCTAATCTAGAGCTGTTGGCAGTGGTGCGTGCGATCTTGTTTTGTACTTTTGTTGCTATGTTGCCGTTGGACGATTTCCGATTTCCGAGGTAGACGAACTCAATGACGTTTTCGAGCGGGTTGCAGTCGAGGTACAGCACTGCTTGGTCAGTTCGGGTAACCATGCACTTGGTCTTGCTGGCATTGACAATGAGGCCGACTTCTTTTGCGGCGGCGACTACTCTATTTAGTAGGGATTGGGCATCATCGGCGTTGTCCTCTAGTAAGCAGATGTCATCTGCATAATCCAGATCGGAGATGACTGTTTCTAGCCTGATTCCATTGTTTGTGCCATTATCTGCACAATTCATCATCCAAACGATCAGAAGATTTAAAAAAAATGGGGAAAGAATGCCTCCCTGCCTGACCCCTGAGTTAACGGGGAGGAGATCAGAAAGCATGATGTTCTTTCTCACGCAGCGTTTGGTGTCCGTGTACATGTTTTTTATGATGTTAAGTAGTTTGCATGGTAGTCCTTGATTCTCGAGAAGCTGCCAGATGGCGTCTCTCTTGACGCTGTCGAAGGCAGCTTTGAAGTCGATAAATACCATGACCGTTGATCTGTTGTACTCGTTTCGTTGCTCCAGGATCTAACGGAGCGTGAAGACTTGATCACAACAGCCTCTCTTTTCCTTAAATCCCGCCTTTTTGTCTCGGGCGTGGGGCTCATAGGCTTCAGTAAATCGTGTCAGCAGTTTTGATTCCAGGACTTTGAAACCTATGCAGAGAAGCGATATCCCGCGACAGTTTGCGCAAACTTGTGGGTCGCCCTTCTTATAAAATGGCAGGAGGATTGATACCCTCCAATCGTCCGAGATTTGTTCTGTACTCCATATGCTGTCCAGTAGCAGTTCTATAAGGTCAACGAGCATTTCTCCACTTGCTTTGTAGAGCTCAGGGGGTATGTCATCACATCCACCTGCGCGGTAGGCCCGTAGCCCTTCTATGGCGTCCCTAATCTCTCTTTTGGTCGGGCCTCGGGGTCAACCTGGTTGAACGCTTGTGGCAGCGTGTGGGCGGTCGGGAGCAGCGTTGGCGTGGTTTCTGTACTCAATAGTTGTTCGTAGTGCTCTTTCCACCTTTCCATTCTTTTCTTGGTGTCAGTTATCATATTTCTGTTTGCTGTACCATTGCTGTATCATTGCTGTACCATTGTCTGACTGAAATGTCATTGCACATCCATGTTGGTAATCCAGCTGCTGATAACGTGATCACAAGTTTCCTCAGCTAAGGCTGTTGTGCTTGGAACAGCTTCTGTATTTTTCGGAAAGTGATCAATCATCCCCAGGACTTGGTTTAACCAGTATCTCTGATGCATATTTTCTGTTGAACGACCTTTAATTGTTGAACTACCTTTAACACTTTATTTCATTCTGTTGATTTCATTGATTGCAATGGGAACCTCAACTTCCTGGAATCTTGTATTCATTGACACGATGAAAATGCTGTGATTGACTTTTTACATGCTTCTGTTGATTTCACATGCTTCTGTTGATTTCATTGATTGCAATGGGAACCTCAACTTCTTAGAATCTTGTATTCATTGACACGATGAAAATGCTGTGATTGACTTTTTACATGCTTTCTTCTTTCAGGCCAATCCAAGTGTAATAAAACCCTTTGGTACACTTACGAATTCCCTGGTGTCCATTCTATAGCATCGCTTGTTCTGTGCATTGCACGCTTGTTTCCCTTACGCAACATTGTTTTTATTTTTCCTATCTGTATCTACTTCTGGAGTTTCTCCTCAAGTGTCTATAATAAATGTACCCCCCAATGGGTTTAACGATTGGAATACCGTTTCCCTTTTGGCCCCGTTTTTTATTAAAGCTGCCGAGAAAAATACACGCAAAATCAACCCTAAAATTTTACATAGAAGATAAACTGTTTACGTAGTGATTGCAACTCCTCTAGTTAATCCCCAATAACGGAGCATCTGTGTTTCCATTTCTGCAAACCATGGAAACTATAACCAGCTGTATGGTGGAATTTTAAATCCAAAATGGTCCAATTGATGATGATAAATTTTACCGTTTCGTCCCAGGAAGACCTCGCTTCCTGTTGCAAACCAGGTGTTAAAAATACGGAGATGTGGTTTGTTTTATTCACGAGTACTCCCTTAATTATGGTTTGAAACTTTGAAACTTCAGCAGCAAACGGAAATTTCTCGGAACTTTCAATTTGCCCTGATACGTATTTTTTTCCGGAACTTTCAATTTGCCCTGATAGGTATTTTTTTCCGGATTTTTCAATTTGCTCTGATAGGTATTTACTAAATTTTTTTGTCATGAGTAAAGCGCTACTTGAGTTCGAAAGTTTTGCTAACGAAAATACTGGTCCTCCAGTTGTTTTCACATCGTTTATGTACGTTACCGATTCATGTTCGAAACTTTTGTTTCCCCATTTTCTCAATTGTGCCATTCCCGATGGGTCCACAAAAATTAACGCACTACCACTTTTTGTCATTTTTACTTCCGCATACAAGGTCCCATTGGTTAATTCCCCATTGACTAGATTTGAACCCATAGTTTTTTATTAGTAGGCGAAATCCACTCCACTGGATATACATATTTGACTCCCCTATTACTCCCTTTCTCCATGAAAAATTTTGATAAATTTACTTTGAAATTATTTGTAGTCTCTGATGCCAAGATACTATCCACTTTCTCCAGAGGTATAGTATTATCCTCGTTTCCAAAGCCTGGTATCTTCACCTGTACTTTATCCCATAATTTCTCACTCTCTGATTCACTCACTGGATAGAAAGTAGGAATAGGCTTGGATTGTTCAAGCAGGTAGGTTGCATCATCCCACCAGCTGCTCTTCTTGGGTGCCGTCAGTGAATATGACGCCAAATACATGCAAAACTTTAGCCTTACTTCTGATGCCACTGGTTTAAAGATTAGTTCCACACTTTTAAGCGTTTCTCAGATTCCTTTTGTTTGAGTGCAATTGCTAATTAAGCTAAAGGATATTCTTTCAGTCTCAATAATGTTTTCAAAATCATATGCGATTAAAATTTCGCCAGTTAGTTTTCCTTAGCATAATAGAAATAAGATAGACTCACCAAAGAACGCTTCCTTATTTTCCATGATGAGGTTATGTATTTTGTTTTCACGAGTAAATTATCTAAGCAAAAACAATACTACCATCATCATTATCATCATCATGGTCTTTATAAAACAAGTAGTCCCTAAATCATTTAGGCGCTGACCGTTCGCTTTTTTCTGTTATTGTACCGTTTATTACCTCCTGTTCCATTCAGTGATTCATTTCTAACATCATTTACAATACTAGCTACCTTAGATTCTGATCCTGTTTTTACTTTTTCTCTTTATGGTGTCTTGGAGGCTGTTCTGTTTTCTACGCTTTCCTTGATTCGTCGGTGAGTATACTGGGTTGAGTCTTTGCAAATGCTGATGTGGCGATTGGTTCTATGATGTCCAATACTTCCGTTGGAGTACTCAACTGAACGGAGTTTATTCTGTCTGATGTAACTGCTTTTCTGTCAGGGGTAGACCGACAAGGAGATTCTACTGTTGAGTTGGCGTTAGTGTCCTCCACAATTTTAAAAATGTATTCTTGTTCTTCTGTTTCTTTTATTGCATTGTTTTTTGCGCTATTATCTGTTCTCCCGCTTCAAGAGCGTTTATTTGTGTTCGTTCATGAAAAACCTTCAACCTATCATAAGGAACTGTTTGCTGTTCTTTAGATTTTTGGTCTTCAATGACAAAATTTAGATTATTTACGATCTCCTTGATTATTTGTGGTCCGGTACAAAATGATTTAAATTTTTATGTTTCTCCTTTGCCAAGGTTTGGGTTAAAAATAGTACCTTGTCGTTCACGTTATAGTTAAATGATGTTAAAAGTGCGTGTTGTTTTCTGTCCAGTAAGTCTTTTGCCGTTCTTGTTCGACGTTCATTGTATGAAGTACAAGTTGGTGGCTTGTTTGAAGTTCTTTCTTTAGGTTTCTGACGTAGTCGCTTGGCGCTGCAAAGATTTTAGTTTGTGATGTTTCGTACATGCAATCTATTGGCAAGGAGCAAGGATGACCAAAAATCAAATAAAATGTACTGTATTTTGTCACTGCATGAATTGAAGATAAATAAGTCATCATAACTAAATGAAGATATTTAGCCCAGTCATTGTAGTTTTTTGCCACATTTTTAGACAGGCTTCTTCGATTGTTCTGTTGGTTCTTTCAATCATTGGGTTTCCCTGAGGATGATGTGATGTTCTGCTAGTTCTATCGATTCCCAGTATGGAACACAAAGTTTTGAAAAGGTGCGACATGAAGTTTGATCCTTTGTCGCTGTGCAGATTTGCTGGGCAGCCAAAGCGTGAAATCCAATTATTGATCAATGCCTTAGCTACTGTCGTTGCTTCATGGTTTTGATGTGGTATCGCTTCGTACCACTTTGAGACATTATCTCCGATTAGAAGAATATACCTGAATCCTTGTGATTCCAGTAGTGGTCCCATGATATCCAACGCTATCTGCCAAAATGGATGGCTTGGCTTCCTTCTTTTTGGCTATGCATTTTTCACAGCTATTAACCCAACCTTTATTAAGCCGACTTATTCCAGGCAAGTAAAACCTTTCTTGAATACGCTGAAAAGTCTTTTTGTAACCAAAATGTCCACAAGGTTCTTGTAGCAAAACCAGCATTTCCTCCATGGACACTCGAGTCACAACAATTTGGACTAAGATGTACTGTTTTTTGGTTAGTTTTTTTCTTTTTTGTAAGTCGTTTTCAATTAGCAAATTTTCTAAATTTTTCCAAAACTTCTTTAGAGTCTTTGAGGAGCCAATCATTTACATTTGCTTTGGCCTCTCCTTAATTTTCAACCAACTCTTGCCGTCCTTGTTTCATTAGAATTCAGTTGAACCTATTGTAATTCTAAAATGGGAGTTTTCAGGGCTTGTTCCCAGGTATTGTTCGAAATATCTGTTTATTTTCTTATTTGATTAACCACCTCCATGTCCTGCTGTTTTTGTGTCAATATGGCCACTATCACAGTTACTGAAGCATCAGTTGCTAGGGTATACATATCTTTATCTTTTGGATATCCCAGTGTTGGTGCTTGCTGCAGTTTTTCTTTCAGTTCCTTCAATGTTTTTTTTGCAAGCTTCATTAAGAAAGATTTTTTCACTCCTACTAAGAAGTTTGCAAAGTGGTTCCGCTGTTTTTCCAAACCCCTCAATAAACTTGCGTTAGAACTCAATGAGTCCTAATAGCGCCCGCAATTGTTTGATATTTTAAGGATCTTTCATGGGTTTCACCGCGTTTATCTTTTCCGGACCAACTTCTACGCCGTTGATCGACACAATATGTCCAAGAAAATGATTTTTTTTGAAAGAATCTGCAATTCAATTTTTTTGTTCCTAACCCTGCTTCTTTCAGTCGACACAGAATAAGTTCCAGCCTCTCTAGCTGTTCTTGAAATGTTCTACCAAAGATTATAATGTCGTCGACGTACACCAAAGCAATTTCCTATGACAGCCCATTTAGTATAAACTCCATTAAGTTTTGAAACGCTCCTGGCGCTGAAGCGAGACCCATTGGTGGTCTTTTTCATTCAATGGGACCCATCGGTGTTAAAAAGGCCGTAAAATTTTTCGAGTCTTCATCTAGCGCCATTTGAAAACAGCCAGATGTTAAATCAATTTTGGAAAAGAACATAGTATCATCCAATGAGTCGATGACATCACTTATCCTTGGTAGGGGCCAGCTTGTCTTTTTGATCTGATTGCTCAATGTAATCAACTACTAATCTCTGCGGTCCGTCGTTTTTAACAAGTTTAGATGGGGCCGCCCAATTCGAGTGAGTTGGTTCAACTAGGTTGCCTTTTCTTAATTCTCCACTCTCTCAACTTTATTTCCTAACTTTATTTTGTGTCTGATTTCATCCGAAAACCCTAAGTCCGTTGAGCTGCGTGAAAAGACTCGGTTATGTTTATCAAAAATTATCTGCTAATTTTTTTCTTTTTCTTCAGATTACAATTGTGCACCGTCCAGAGTAGCGCGTTTGCCAAAATGCTCCTCATGCTGCGGTAGTTCCTTGTTACTGAAGAGTCTGTTTACTTGATTATGATTTCTCAATATGGTATAATGAGCAAATTTGCTGTCATGGTATATGTTAATTGCTTCCTTTCGCATGTTCAGTATCTTCCGGCGACTTTTTCTTTGGCTTACGCTTACCAGTGAATTAGCTACCAAAAGTCAGGTTTTTTCTTGGAATTTTTATACGCCTTCAAGTAAACCTTCCGTGCTACTGAAGACGGTACCGTTTTTATACTTAATGACAATTTCTACTAGTTTTTCATGTCTGCTGGGGATTCTTGCATTCCTCTCTGCTATTGCAAAGGTTCGGACACCGGTCGTTGTTTGTGCTGATATTGGTAGCGCTGTCCAATGTTTCGTGCTGAATATCAATTGTTCAACATTATTCAAAATACACTTTGATCTACCATAAAGTCCAACCCAAGAAGGCAAGGTAAGCGGTTATCCGCCGTTATTAAAAACTCTTGAGCGAAACCTCCGGGTTTTGGTTTCGTTTGGATTTTGATGTCGACACTGCCAACTATTTTCAACGCCGAATTGTTAGCCGCAAACATTTAAAAAAATAGTCAGAGGTTAACAGGAACAGAGTATATGTTCCGCTTAGACGACAATTGCTAATAGCAAGCGTAGCTTCTTTAATTCAACACACCATTAGAGCAAAAAAGCAGCCACTCTATAATCGTTTGACTTGCAACATGAATCATAAATCGATTACACTTAAAAGCTGGTGGTCGGCTGAGCGCCTTCGCAATGTCCACCATATTGACAGTAACAGTTTTGATTCCATTTCCTTTTCCCTCCACCTGTGCTAGGATTCGGGGCATCTTGTACCGATAGAAGGAGTCGGTAACCTCCGAGTTGACGTTGACCATTCCAGACATGATTGCAACTTATTTCGTTTCTGCTCTGATTCAAATATCCGACAAGCTGAAGACCTTTTGGTTTTGCAGTGTGTTTCAAATAAACTTTGACTGTGTTTGGAAGATTCGGCGCTTGAAGTCGAGTTTTGTATGTGCAATTCACCCAAATGCTCGAGAATGTCTAGTCCAGGTTGCTTTGTGTAAATCGACATAGACTGATTACTGCCTTGATGTGGCTCTGTTGTGAGCAATACTTTTTTGGTGCGACGCTTTTTGTGACGCTCTCGAACAAGCTCGATATTTGATTTCCCTAAAAAAATAAGGCTTTTAGTGTTTTAGGTAAGTCAAATTTTTTGAGCTTCAGAAAAATGCACACTTACCAATTTTGGTTTTCGGAACCGGCATAAACCTTTATTGCGCTCGATTGTTTTTCGATGATTTTCTGTTAACGAACTACAGAATGAACTCCAGCTGGATTTCAATAAATAGATAATACAAATCTGAAACAATTAGAGCTCATTCTTTGTGATATAACTTATAAGCGAAAACGCAGAGCTTAAACACAGAAGCTAAGCTTCGCAAACACTATCGAGAAAACGACAAAAAGCAGCTGTCCAATAAGAAAAAAAGACTCGAACTAGTAAAAACTCGGCTACGTCACGGATCGATCTGCGAGTCTCACACGATAACTACTAACTCTTTTAACACATAACAAACACTAGCCCTAAATAAAGCACAGAAGATAGGCAATGAAATTTCAAATATTACAGATCGTGAATATAGTCAAGTCAAGTTTTTTATGACCATTAGGCAGTGCCTCTTGTGGTCATTTCAAATGTTTTTTCCTATCTCCGTTCGAGATCGTACGTCAATTCCAATCGCTTTCCAATGTTTGTCCAGTTTCCACTTGAATTCGTCGATGGTCTTGCTTTGCACTGTTTCCTGTGGCAGATTCTTCCAGTCGAGAGGTGCTCTTATCGTGAAGAAATTTTTTCGCATTTCTAGATTTGCACTACGTACTACTACTTTACATGCGTTACCTCTAGAATCCCTATCATTCCGCACGAATAGTCCCGCAGTGGCATTCCTATCATAAGAACCATAGCAGATTTTATACATTTCTATCATTGTCCCTCTTTTCCTTCTGTATTCCAGCGATGATAGATTTAGTTCTTTAAAGCGTTCGTAATAGAATAGATTTTTTATACCACTAACTAGACGCGTCGCTATTCTTTGTACGTTTTCCAAAATCTTTTGATGCTTGATCAACTTTGGTTGCCAGATTAAGTTCGCAACTTCAAGGTGTGGCCGTATCAAGCGTTTGTAGATGTTTAAAAATAGTTTTTTCGTGACTTTAGTGAAGCTTTTCTCAATTACTGCTATCTAGCCGTTTGCCTTAATGGCTTTTCTACTGATTATAGCAAAAAAGCGACTAAATGAGTGAAAATTTAATGAACACTGCGAACGATTTACTATCTATTCAATTTGAATTTAGAAATGCACTCTATGCAGGGGTGGATTAAGAGGGGGGATGCCCCCCAACCAAACCATGTATAGGGTCTCTGCTTTAATAACGTTTTATGACATCCATTTTCGACGACCATGTGTCATTGGCCACTGGGTGGTATGTCGTTGAGTGAGTCTGCGCTAGTTGAGAACGCGTGATCGGCTCTTCAGTGAACTCGTCGACAAAGGATGTACCATTCGTTCGTTCGTTCACAAAGGCATGCCTGCCCATCAGCTAGCCACTGATTGCAGCGTCTCGGACCACCGCTCTCCATCTCAGCCTGTCCTTGGCGACTTCGTAGCATAAATTTTTCCATGACTTCTTCCAAAACTCGTGCCTCAATCTGGGAGGCCTGAGGATCGGTTCAACGCCTTCCTTGACGTCCATTCTCCATGTTGTTCTGAGGTCACCCGGTGGACGTTTCCATGACTGAGCTTTTTCAAACAATAATGCTTCTCGAGTTACTCGTTCTTCCCCCATTCGAAGTACATGACCACACCATCTTAGTCGAATCTTTCGCAGGTGAGAGTCCAAGGATGTCCCAAGGTTCGCTGCTGCTCGGCTGCTGGTGGTGTCTTGCTCAGGTCGTGCTCCGAGGTAGCGTCTTACGCATCTTGTTTCCCATGAAGCAAGTCTTAGGAGGTCAGATTTTTTGACAGTCCATGTTTCCGCAGCATATAGCAGAGCGCTCTTTACGCATGCATTGTATACTTCGTTCTTCGTGTTTCTCATCGTTCACTTGTCCTAAGAAATTTAAAATATTAATTCAAACCGCACATTTTGTGCATCATCAGGATTAAATTTTTTTACAATATTTACAAAACGATCAAAGATCTGAATGAGAAACATGTCTGAAAAGGCTCTAAAAATTTTTAGCCAATCAAATTTAAACAACTGAAATTAAATAATACAATTACGTAATCATTAATAACATTTTCCTCTAAAAATCTGAGATTTTTTATTTTTTTGTTCTTTCCAGCTGTATGGTGGAATTTTTAATCCAAAATGGTCCAATTGATGATGATAATTTTTCCCGTTTCGTCCCAGGAAGACCTCCCTTCCTGTTATTGTCTTCCGACTATGTTTCATAAGTTGTGAAAACTGACTGTCTCTCAAATCTTTATCGGTGAAACGGCCTCCAACCCTAAAAACAAAGGAGCTCAAAGTTGCATATTGTTCGCAGGTTTCTCTAATACTTTTTAGCGTGCGGATCAATTTCAGTTGTTTTCTATATGAAACCCAGGACCCATAACCTAATTCAAAAGCGTTGGGATAGTTTTCATTGCACAGCGTGAGAGTATAATTGCGATAAACTACTCTGCTGATTGGGTCCATAAACTGTTTTGCTGCCACCATTTATAACTGACACCTATAATTCTTCTGTGCAGAAAGATATTTAGGCGAGTTTGACCTGTATTTTTGCACATTGATGTATATACAAAAAGCCCCCGCCTTTTCAGAGTGGTAATCTCAAGGCGACTTTTTTTCTATATTAAAAGTTTCTCCGCTTCCAGTTCTTTTTGCCAAACGCCATATAATGTCATCTATGTCGCATTCAATCAGCAGAGTATTATCTAGTTCACTTTGCTTTACATTTTAGTGGTTATTCCCCCAAAATTAGCTGACAAATCAAACGTGGTTTCCTCAGGTGTAAAAAATACGGAGATGTTGTTTGTTTTATTCACGAGTACTCCCTGATTTATGGTTTGAAACTTTAAAACTTCAGCAGCAAACGGAAATTTTCCGGAACTTTCAATTTGCCCTGATAGGTATTTTTTTCCGGAACATTCAATTTGCCCTGATAGGTAGTTACTAATTTTTTTTGTGTCATGAGCAAAGCGCTACTTGAGTTCGAAAGTTTTGCTAACGAAAATACTGGTCCTCCAGTTGTTTTCACATCGTTTATGTTCGTTACCGATTCATGTTCGAAATTCTTGTTTCCCCATTTTTTCACTTGTGCCATTACCGTTGGGTCCACAAAAACTAACGCACTACCAGTTTTTGTCATTTTTACTTCCGAATACAAGGTCCCAATGGTTAGTTCCCATTGACTAGAACTGAACCCATAGTTTTTTATTGGTAGGCGAAATCCACTCCACTGGATATACATATTTGACTCCCCTATTACTCCCTTTCTCCATGAAAATTTTTGATAAATTTACTTTGAAATTATTTGTAGTCTCTGATACTAAGATACTATCCAATTTCTCCAGAGGTATATTATTATCCTCGTTTCCAAAGCCTGGTATTTGCACCTGTACTTTATTCCATAACTTCTCACTCTCTGATTCACTCACTTGATAGAAAGTAGGAATAGGCTTGGATTGTTCAAGCAGGTAGGTTGCATCATCCCACCAGCTGCTCTTCTTAAGTGCCGTCAGTGAATATGACGCCAAATACAAGCAAAACTTTAGCCTTACTTCTGTTGCCAGTGGTTTAAAGATTATTTCCACACTTTTAAGCATTTCTCAGATTCCATTTGTTTGAGTGCAATTGCTAATTAAGCTCAAGGATATTCTTTCAGTCTCAATAATGTTTTCAAAATCATATGCGATTAAAATTTCGCCAGTTAGTTTTCCTTAGCATAAAAGAAAGAAGATTGACTCACCAAAGAACGCTTCCTTCTTTTCCATGATGAGGTTATGTATTTTGTTTTCACGAGTAATTTATCTAAGCAAAAACAATACTACTATAATCATTATCATCATCATGGTCTTTATAAAACAAGTAGTCCCTAAATCGTTTAGGCGCTGATCGTTCGCTTTTTTCTGTTATTGCACCGTTTATTACCTCCTGTTCCATTCAGTGATTCATTTTTAACATCATTTACAATACCAGCTACCTTAGATTCTGACCTGTTTTTACTTTTTCTCTTATGGTGTCTTGGAGGCTGTTCTGTTTTCTACGCTTTCCTTGATTCGTCGGTGAGTATACTAGGTTGAGTCTTTGCAAATGCTGATGTGGCGATTGGTTCTATGATGTACAATACTTCCGTTGGAGTACTGAACTGAACGGAGTTTATTCTGTCTGATGTAACTGCTTTTCTGTCAGGGGTAGACCGACAAGGAGATTCTACTGTTGAGTTGGCGTTAGTGTCCTCCACAATTTTAAAAATGTATTCTTGTTCTTCTGTTTCTTTTATTGCATTGTTTTTTGCGCTATTATCTGTTCTCCCGCTTCAAGAGCGTTTATTTGTGTTCGTTCATGAAAAACCTTCAACCTATCATAAGGAAATTTTTGCTGTTCTTTAGATTTTTGGTCTTCAATGACAAAATTTAGATTATTTACGATCTCCTTGATTATGTGTGGTCCGGTACAAAATGATTTAAATTTTTATGTTTCTCCTTTGCCAAGGTTTGGGTTAAAAATAGTACCTTGTCGTTCACGTTATAGTTAAATGATGTTAATCAAGTGCGTGTTGTTTTCTGTC